AACTGGTACTGGTTATTTTAAAGTGTTATTTTCCAAGTGAGTTTTGCTCATGCAATACAATATATATATATATATATATATATATATATATATATATATATATATATTATATATATATATATAAACAGCTATTGGAGGATAGATGGCTAATGAGAGCATAGGCAATGGGGGTCGAAGAGGTATGGGGTAGGTTTAAAAATGTAGTGTTAGAGTGTTCAGCAGAAGTTTGTGGTTACAGGAAAGTGGGTGCAGGAGGGAAGAGGAGCGATTGGTGGAATGATGATGTAAGAGAGTAGTAAGGGAGAAAAAGTTAGCATATGAGAAGTTTTTACAAAGTAGAAGTGATGCAAGGAGGGGAAGAGTATATGGAGAAAAAGAGAGAGGTTAAGAGAGTGGTGAAGCAATGTAAAAAGAGAGCAATGAGAGAGTGGGTGAGATGTTATCAACAAATTTTGTTGAAAATAAGAAAAAGTTTTGGAGTGAGATTAACAAGTTAAGAAAGCCTAGAGAACAAATTGATTTGTCAGTTAAAAATAGGAGAGGAGAGTTATTAAATGGAGAGTTAGAGGTATTGGGAAGATGGAAGGAATATTTTGAGGAATTGTTAAATGTTGATGAAGATAGGGAAGCTGTGATTTCGTGTATAAGGGCAAGGAGGAATAACATCTTGTAGGAGTGAGGAAGAGCCAGTTGTGAGTGTGGGGAAGTTCGTGAGGCAGTAGGTAAAATGAAAGGGGGTAAGGCAGCCGGATTGATGGGATAAAGATAGAAATGTTTAAAAGCAGGTGGGGATATAGTTTTGGAGTGGTTGGTGCAATTATTTAATAAATGTATGGAAGAGGGTAAGGTACCTAGGGATTGGCAGAGAGCATGCATAGTTCCTTTGTATAAAGGCAAAGGGGATAAAGAGAGTGCAAAAATTATAGGGGGATAAGTCTGTTGAGTGTACCTGGTAAAGTGTATGGTAGAGTTATAATTGAAAGAATTAAGAGTAAGACGGAGAATAGGATAGCAGATGAACAAGGAGGCTTTAGGAAAGGTAGGGGGTGTGTGGACCAGGTGTTTACAGTGAAACATATAAGTGAACAGTATTTAGATAAGGCTAAAGAGGTCTTTGTGGCATTTATGGATTTGGAAAAGGCGTATGACAGGGTGGATAGGGGGGCAATGTGGCAGATGTTGCAAGTGTATGGTGTAGGAGGTAGATTACTGAAAGCAGTGAAGAGTTTTTACGAGGATAGTGAGGCTCAAGTTAGGTATGTAGGAAAGAGGGAAATTTTTTCCCAGTAAAAGTAGGCCTTAGACAAGGATGTGTGATGTCACCGTGGTTGTTTAATATATTTATAGATGGGGTTGTAAGAGAAGTAAATGCGAGGGTCTTGGCAAGAGGCGTGGAGTTAAAAGATAAAGAATCACACACAAAGTGGGAGTTGTCACAGCTGCTCTTTGCTGATGACACTGTGCTCTTGGGAGATTCTGAAGAGAAGTTGCAGAGATTGGTGGATGAATTTGGTAGGGTGTGCAAAAGAAGAAAATTAAAGGTGAATACAGGAAAGAGTAAGGTTATGAGGATAACAAAAGATTAGGTGATGAAAGATTGAATATCAAATTGGAGGGAGAGAGTATGGAGGAGGTGAACGTATTCAGATATTTGGAGTGGACGTGTCAGCGGATGGGTCTATGAAAGATGAGGTGAATCATAGAATTGATGAGGGAAAAAGAGTGAGTGGGGGCACTTAGGAGTCTGTGGAGACAAAGAACTTTGTCCTTGGAGGCAAAGAGGGGAATGTATGAGAGTATAGTTTTACCAACGCTCTTATATGGGTGTGAAGCGTGGGTGATGAAATGTTGCACCCGAGGAGAAGGCTGGAGGCAGTGGAGATGTCATGTCTGAGGGCAATGTGTGGGTGTGAATATAATGCAGAGAATTCGTAGTTTGGAAGTTAGGAGGAGGTGCGGGATTACCAAAACTGTTGTCCAGAGGGCTGAGGAAGGGTTGTTGAGGTGGTTCGGACAATGTAGAGAGAATGGAGCGAAAAAGAATGACTTCAAGAGTGTATCAGTCTGTAGTGGAAGGAAGGCGGGGTAGGGGTCGGCCTAGGAAGGGTTGGAGGGAGGGGGTAAAGGAGGTTTTGTGTGCGAGGGCTTGGACTTCCAGCAGGCATGCGTGAGCGTGTTTGATAGGAGTGAATGGAGACAAATGGTTTTTAATACTTGACGTGCTGTTGGAGTGTGAGCAAAGTAACATTTATGAAGGGATTCAGGGAAACCGGCAGGCCGGACTTGAGTTCTGGAGATGGGAAGTACAGTGCCTGCACTCTGAAGGAGGGGTGTTAATGTTGCAGTTTTAAAAACTGTAGTGTAAAGCACCCTTCTGGCAAGACAGTGATGGAGTGAATGATGGTGAAAGTTTTTCTTTTTCGGGCCACCCTGCCTTGGTGGGAATCGGCCGGTGTGATAATAAAAAAAAAAAAAAATATATATATATATATATATATTGAATAATTTTAAAATTGTATATCCTATTTGCTGCATATCTTTATTGCGATGGTTCATAGGGGATCTGTTGGGTGAAATTGCTTTTAAATTTCAAAGTAACCTACCTATGGCTAACTTTACCTTTAGTCCGGCCAGTTATAGGATGCGATACAATGTCCCATTTTTCTGGCTGATGCAATACTGTATGGGACACCTGGATTAACCTATAATAATGTACGAGTGGAATTCAGTGCTTAAGATGCTTCTCTATACTCATAAGAAACCATTCTTGAGAATTAGTAACGAGTTATTGTATTGCTGTGATATCGCACAAAAGTCAGTAAGTCTGTTTTACTAATCTGTGAGCAGCCATTTGCTCAAAAAATGTAGGGGGGTGTTGCCAAAAGCGTAAACAAACATTAAGCCAGCAGACGAGGATGGTTGAATACCAAGATAACTCCCGCTGGTATGAGATGATGGTTGCAGTCCCTAACATTTATCCTTTAAGTATTTGGGATGAACCAAGACAGATATTGGTTTGAAACCCGCCTTACCATACTTCCAGAAGCAACCGCTGCATGTCGAGCCTCAAACACTGAAATAATGATGTAGAGAACATCTTGTTTTTCAAACTAGATGAATAATAAAAAGAAATTTAATTAATCACTTGCTCACCTCAAGTAGTTTCCATTAGGAAAACCTCCATCTAAATCCTCCTGACTGACTATGTACAGGCCATCAACAATGCCCATTAGTTCACTGCTCTGAGTAACTGTGGAGGACTATGTGGAGACTGACACAGTAAATGTGGAGACTAACACAGTGACTGTGGAGAACTATGTGGAGACTAACACAGTAACTGTGGAGAACTATGTGGAGACTAACACAGTAACTGTGAAGAACTATGTGGAGACTAACACAGTAACTGTGGAGAACTATGTAGAGACTAACAGTAACTGTGGAGAACTATGTGGAGAGTAACACAGTAACTGTGGAGAACTATGTGGAGACTAACACAGTAACTGTGTAGAACTATGTGGAGACCAACACAGTAACTGTGGAGAACTATGTGAATACTAACAGAGTAACTGTGGAGAACTATGAGGAGACTAACACAGTAACTGTGGAGAACTTTGTATACTATAACATAATATCCGTCTAAAATATTGAGGAAATGTTGAACTAATGTTGATTCAACATCATGAAAAAAAATAGTCAAACAGTGGATCTCATAAAGTAGAAACAGCCAAACTCAATGTTATGTAACAAATCTGCTGTGGATCTTTGTCCAAACATTTTTATCCTAAAAAGCAATTCCTAATCATGTTCACCCTTCAGGGGAAGACAACTAAATGCTGGTAAAAGGCTCTTGATCCAAAGATTTGGAGCACCTCTTCCCTTGGATAGAATATGATTGTGTCCCATTAGATGCGCTGTAAAACCTAAACTAGGAGTATACTGATCGATTCAGCATCCGTGCTAAGATGAACCTGGAGATGTAATATATACAGACTTTGCAAAAGCCTTCGACAAGTGTGACCATGGAGTAATAGCTCACAAAATGCGTGCTAAAGGAATAACAGGAAAAGTTGGTAGATGGATCTATAATTTCCTCACAAACAGAATACAAAGAGTAGTAGTCAACAGAGTAAAGTCTGAGGCGGCTACGGTGAAAAGCTCCGTTCCACAAGGCACAGTACTCACTCCCATCTTGTTTCTCATCCTCATATCTGACATAAGACAAGCATGCCAGCCACAGCACCATGGCTTCCTTTGCAGATGACACTCGAATCTGCATGACAGTGTCTTCCATTGCAGACACTGCAAGGCTCCAGGCGGATATCATCCAATCTTTCAATGGACTGCAGAAAACAATATGAATTTCAACGATGAGAAATTTCAGTTACTCCGATATGGTAAACATGAGGAAATTAAAACTTCATCAGAGTACAAAACAAATTCCGTCAACAAAAGAGAGCGAAAAACCAACGTCAAAGACCTGGGAGTGATCATGTCGGAGGATCTCACCTTCAAGGACTATAACATTGTATCAATTGCATCTGCTAGAAAAATGACACGATGGATAATGAGAACCTTCAAAACTAGGGATGCCAAGCCCATGATGACACTCTTCAGGTCGCTTGTTGTATCTAGCCTGGAATATTGCTGCACACTAACAGCACCTTTCAAGGCAGGTGAAACTGCTGTCCTAAAAAATGTACAGAGAACCTTCACGGCGCGCATAACGGAGATAAAACACCTCAATTACTCTGAGGGCTTGAAGTTCCTGAAGCTGTATTCCCTGGAACGAAGGCGGGACAGATACATGATTATATACACCTGAAAAATCCTAGAGGAACTAGTAACGATCTTGCACACGAAAATGACTCACAACGAAAGCAAAAGACTCGGCAGACGACAAAAACCCCCAAAGAAAAGCAGGGGTTTTCCCAGCACGTTTAAAGACAATACAAAAGTGAGGGGGCCCAGACTGAAGTGCCTCCCCCGCATACATGAAGGGG